CAGCTTCACTGTAAGGGCTACTCAAATTTCAGACCCTGAGTAAGTCCACTGGGCCAGAACCAGAAAATCTGATTTAAGCTTCATTGTATTTTGGCTCCAAGGGCCTGTGTAATGCTTTTGCCCTGTGTATTAATTCTCCTTAGAAGAGTCATGAAGATTGTTTTCGGGAATGGCATCCTCACACCCATCTTATTACTTAAAGCCTAGGATGTGTTTTCTAGCCTCTAGCCTGCAGAACCAAGAAACTTAGTTTGCTGTTAACGATAGCAAATTCCCAAAACGTAGGCACGAAAATGAAGCAGATGTTCTGTACATACTTTGTATTTAACTCTTCTTCCCTTCTTTACCACAAAACTCTTGAGTCCATGCTTGCGGTGGGTTGTTAACCATATTCAGAGCCAGATTAATCAGCTGCCTTGTGACCTTCCGCTGTCCTTTCCCACTGCCCTCTGGCCATTTGTCCGCTCTTCTTTTTCCAATTAAGAGGGTGGACAGAGGGAATGAACAGATCTGACTTCAGTGTGAGCAGATTCTGCTTCTCATTAAAGGTCCTGTTGAAAGATTTGGTGGAAAGAGTTCTCATGGCAATGATTACAGCCATAAGATTTGAGGATTTCCATTTGTTCACAGTTTTTATACCATCACCCATTAACCCTAACATTTGTAATATTTGATCTGTTTTAACTAGCTGGCCAGGAAGAAATGCATTTCCCTGACAGTGCTTATACAGTTCCAAACAAGTATACTATCAGGGAGGGCCTTGAGCAAAACTGTTCACAAGGTATAATTTATCTACTAATTTCCATTTCGGATTCCTTTCTTCCATGTGATTACCTGCTACCCATGCACCCTTATCTCATACATTTTTCCCGTAGCAGTGTGACTAAGATGTCCATTTCACACAAGAATTTCTGCACTATTGGAAATCACAAGGCCTTATAAAAAATGACCTAAAACTTTCAACACTAAGACCCAAGGGCAAAGAAGAACATTAGCAATATGGTCTGTTTTCTTCTAAGGTTCACTTTTAAATCCCTTGATGCCTGTTCATATCATTCTGTTTATGAGGGGGCATGTTTTTAAGGTCAAATGTACCATTCTATGAAAGAACTCACATTATTCATTCCAGAAACGCTTATTGAATTATCCACAACTAGATGATCTCATTTAGGCCTCTTTCATTGTAATTTAAAAATAAGTATTACAAAAACACAAAGCGTTGTGAAACTAACCACGGGGGTGTTACTTCTGGCTGAAGCAGGTAGTCTCTGATAATATTTACACAGCCAATTCCTTAATTCTCAGCCCTACTCTCCGGTCACATGGCCAAGAGCAATGAAGTGGAGAGCAGCTGCAGCTGAGTTTACAAGTGCGCTCTCAGCTTGGAAGTGCAGGAAACGTGGACACTGAGTAATAGAGTTTACGCAACTGTTACCTGTGGCGTTCCTTGTGAAGCTGCGTAGCTTGTTTAGCAGAATTCCAGGGCCAGGAAGTTGCAAGGCCACCCATGTTTCCAGCTGTGCGACACGCACATGGTCCCATCACACGTTCTCATGGCTCTCTACTGCCTATCTTGTGGTTCCCATATCAGATCTAAGTGGCCTTGTTGGCCAAAAGGCAGATTACCCTCAGTGGCATTTGCATTTACCGAAAGGAGAATAAGCAAACAGTTTTCAGTGATTTACAATAAAAGCAAATATTTTCTCCATTCTCTTTGAAAAACACTCTTCCTTCGTGGCTTGAGAGCTGTTACTTTGCTAGCATTTTAATATTTTTGGAAATTGAAAAGAGGAGAAGAGACAGGAAAAGTTCTGTCACCAGATCAGGGTGGGGAGTTCTCCAAATAAAATAACCAACTTTGTGCTTTCTGATCATTGCAGAGTTAAAGAAATCTCACGCTTCTGAAATGGCTTCTTTCCCCTAGAATATTGGTATAGTATTGATTTCAGGTTTCTGTGTTTTAATTTATCAGTGCCACACTGTAGTATTTCCAATGATGAGTAAAAGCAGTGATTCTGGACCTCACTGTAGGAAATATGGATTACATGTGAAAGTCTCTTCCTTTCTGTCACGTTGCTTTTCATGATGAACAACACATATCTTTGGTACAATAAATGAAAACAGAAAAGGAGCTTGGGACGAGACACGGCTAGTGTGGTGGAAGGTGGTTTGAGTCATCCCTCTTCTACGCATCTTCTGCAAAGTTGGTGGCCACCTCTTCCATGAGCACACCAGCCTCTTCTGCTTGCGGAGGCCTGGCTGCATAGGTGAATGCGAATCCTCAGTCCAGGTGTTACCCTGATGGAAATGATCCCTATGGACATTTTCCTAAATGAGGCCAGACTACGTCAATCAGTGGTCTGTGACCTACAGATTGGAGGCCCAAGATGGGTCGGGTCTGTTTTTGTGAGCACTACAACACAGCCATATCTATTAGTTTTTATTTATTTTTTATTTTTCTGACTGTTTTCACATTACAGAGGCAGAAATGAACGGTTGTTGAGCAGTGACAACAGATTCCTACGAGCCCTAAATTATTTACTCGCTGGTCCTTTACAGAAAAAAAAAAAATGGCTGACCCCTAGCTTAAGTCACTTTCATTCTATGGGTAGGCTACTTTTGGAGGTCAAAGCTAGAGAATAAAGAAGTTAGGCCCAGGGTTTAGCTCAGTGGTTCCGCTGTCTGCCTCCGCTGGCTGCTTTACATGTACAAGGTCCCTAGTTTTCTTTTCTTCATTGAGTTTATTGGTACATTTTAGCTATACAGAATAGTTACATTCATTATTGGGATCCGTAGTTTGATCCCTGGTACCACAAAAAAGAAGGTAGGAGATGCTACTTATTGAAATTGAATATGTCAACTATAAAAGATTTCAAGGTACAAGTACATTACATATATTTATGCTATTCTAATTTGGTAATTACTATAACAGTGTCAACGGGACCGACTAACATCTGTTGTGAATCTACATATTCTGAGCTTTAAGTCAGAAATCATCTAAGAATCAGGCAAGTGACTCAAAGGGAATTTTGAGACAGACTCAGAAAAAAGAAACAAAGTAGCAGGTCCTCCAATCACTGAAGTTTATGACACCAGTGAGAGAAACTGGTGGGGGTACTGGGCTCCAATATAACCAATGGATGCTCATGAGTTACAGGACACAAAAGACCACTAAACCCTGGCTCCTTTCGTGGAATGCACTTCCTCTGCTGCAGGACCTCAGAAATGGATGGCTTTGGGAAGCCACACATTTTAGGTCCTATGTATAAGGTTAAGCAGAGATTACAACAGAGCTAGGCAGCAAAATACTCCTATAGATTAATGGCAGCTTCTATGAGTACATAAATACTTTGTGACAGGGTTTTCCCCCCAAATAATAACTTGCAAATCAAAAAATTGGGGGTATTCGCCTTTCAGATGCCCCCTATTCTGCTGAGTAGCTTTTTCCACCCCTTTAAAAAAATCAGTCATCTTCCTTTATTTAAAAAAAATCATAAAATGTTATAGTCAAGATGAGTTACAGATTTACTTCCAATTCCATGAACTGCACTTCTAGAAAGAGAAACAGAGGGGTGGCAAGTGACATATTCAGGGATTGGTAGCAAAGCCAGGATTTTGAGTTTCTGTCCGAAGTATTCTCTGTGTTTTATTAGACCAAATTATGTTCTCTGGGTAAGTTCTGTATTCTGTTCCTGTTGATCAAAATTGAACTTGAGGGCCGGGGATTTAGCTCAGTGGTGCCGCCACCTGCTTCACAAGCACAAGGACCCGAGTTCAATCCCTGGTACCAAAAAAAAAAAAAACAAAAACAAAAAACGGAAAAAGAATTGAACTTGAAACAGTTGCGGTGCTCACTGAGACTGTAAATAAGACGTCTCATTCTTCATCAGTGTTGCTGGGAAATAGCAAGCCAGCCTGTTTCTCTTGTGCGCTCATCTATTTTTATATTCTGTCAGTTTCAGGAATGCTATCTGTACTTTCCGGGCCTGCCTGCTACTGTACTCTCAGTTTTCTCTGGCAGCCATGCATTCAGCTTTCTAGCTGGACCCGCTGTACTTGGCTTGCACTTCCCTTCTGAGACTGGGAGCTCCACTCCAGCCCTTCTTGGCAGGCATCTATGCTCCCTTGCAGAAAAGAAAGAGGCAGATATAGGATGTCTGCGCAAATAAAGAACAAAAAAATGGAAATGAGAGAGCTAGCTAAACCGAAAGAAAATAGGCTTTGCCTCAAAAGGGGAAAAAAAAAAGTGCCAAAGAAAAGGGAGACGAAATGATCTGGCAAAACTTACTGTCACTTTTATTCATTTTGCAGCATACACAGGGAGGACTGAAAAGAGGAGATTTCATTTGTCAGTGCCTTCTCCCTGTGAGTTATCCCCCAAACTAAGCTCAAACCTGCCGGTCCATCAGGGTAGCTTTGGATAGCACCACTCTGCTCTCCCCGTCTGGACTCATCAAACCCATTATTGATCTGTTTTGTCCTTAACTCAGCTCCACTGTGAGCCCAGTAAGGACCAGTGTCAGCTTTAGCAGTACATGCACTGATGGTGTCTAAGTCACCTTTCTCTTATTTGATGCCTTCTGCCCTGACGATCATCATCAAACTTCTTTTCTGTATTCATGTACTCATTTTTGCAGGCTGCATATGTACATGTCAAGGGTTAAATAACGCCTACAGTTAACAGTGGTAAGGAGGAAGCGTGAGAAATTTACTGCTCTGTGTCTGTGACAGCAGCTTGGGCTGCGCTCTGGTCATTCACAAGCACGAAAATGACACAGTCTATTTGGCTGAGCAATTAGTACACTTAGAGATAGGACCAGAACCAAAGCACAGCTTGTGTTGAATGTCTCCAGAGGTAGAGGGGGTGAGAGAAATACTGTCACCTTAGTAGGCCCACCTCTCGAATAAGGTCAGAGAAAGCCATGAAGACATCAGGACCCACCTGGATCCCAGCCACTTTTATTTTCCAAAGTTCTCCCAGTGAAATCATCAGCAATTACCTGTTGATGCTGTTTTTCTGTGCTAACATCTGCCAGTCTTTGCCTTTGGCATTGGGAGTGTCAAACGTAGCACAAATGCGCTGTCTGATGGAGTAGGGGATTTTGAAGGCTTTGGGGCCAGTCTGTGCAGGGAAAGCACTGTCCTCTTGTGCAAAGAAAGTGATGGTTTCTCGTTCACTCTATAAACAAAATAAGGAAAGCATTACTGACAGCATTTTTATTTCTAAAAATCCATGTGACACAGATGTCCAACACGCTTGCCCATTCTGATGTGCTCTATAAAATGTGCTGACAAGTTCCTTTCCCTTACAAGGTAACAAAGGACTTAGCCAGTAGCCTAATAAACTGTGGGCTGAAGATTTGCCATACCCTCGTTCACTCAGGGCAGTCACAATCACCAGCTTCTGACAACCAAAGAAAGAGCAGGAGGAAGCAGAATTAGAATTAGATCTTGCTTTGTTGTTGTAGGTTCACGGGGATAGATCTAGAACTAGGAAGAAAAGCTACCAAAGGACAGATTCATAATTCGTATAAGGAATGAATCTCTGACAGTCATCCTGCCCAAAGATGAATGGGTTGATCGAAGAGAGATCCCAGGTTTGGTTGTCGAAGTCCCGTTCTTATTTGCAGGCTGCCTGTGAAATGTCAATTGGCTGTAGATGAGTATTTCTTAGAAAATAGGCCCGGTCAGGAAACCTGCAAAGAGAAACTTACTGTATGTTAGTCACAAAAATAGTTGGTTTTACTCCCGTGTCATAAAGTTGTGTGACAGATGTTTTGGTTTTCTTGCAGAATTAAATCCCTTGAGTGAAACAGACCTACCCATGAGTTAGAGCCAGCTAGATTAGCTTTTCACAGGAATGCAGATTAAAAGGCTTCAGACTGCTGTCTGCCTACCTCACTTTTAACTGAGGGCTCTCCAAGGAGAATATTCCAGTACATCATGGCATTTAGATCACTGTGTCCAAAAGGAAATTACACAGTAACTTGTCAGATGGTAGTAGCTGCTGGTAAGTTTATGTGGACTAACAATACTAAGGACTGAAAAATATCTAAATGAGCTACTTCCTTGCTTATTCTATGTTATAAAACCTAAGGTGTTCTACTGAAATAAAGTCCCTACTCAGTTGAGAGATTTTCCTGGGTGGGCCTGACCTAATCAAGTGGCCATCAAAATAGGGAAGAGAGAGCTTTAATTTGGAGGCCTTTTCTGCTCATCTTGAAGAAATCAAGCAGCCCCGTTGTGAACTGGCTGCACAGGAGTACTCCTGTGGCTAGGAGCTGAGGGTGATTCTAGCCCCCCACCACCAAAGGAACTTGAATCTGTAGGTACAAGAAACTGAATCGTGCCAACAATATGAATGCTCTGGACTCTGGCTTGCAGATAAGAAAAATGTCCCTGGCCAGCACCTTGATTTCAGCCTGTGTAATATTGATCAGGGTCTGGGAATGCCATGCCCGGACTCCTAACTTAAAACAAATTTTGAGGTAATATATGGGCGTTGTTTTATTGAGATAAATGTGTGGTAATTTGTTACATAAGCAGCAAAAGAAAAGAACTACTACAAGGTAAAATTGAGACGGGAGATGTGAAACTGGATTAAGGAACCAATTAGGATGATTTAAACACCAAGAAGTTGACTTTGACCTAGCAAGTTGTCTGTTGTGCTCTCCCTCGCGTTAACACATATTTTTTTTGTGTGTATGCTGGGGATCCAACTCAGGACCTTGCGCTTGTGAGGCAGGCAGCTGAGGTAAATCCCTGGCCCAGCACTCATTCTTCTTGAGTGCTCTTGAAGTCCTTCTTTTCTCTTCCCATGACTTCCAGTCTTCAGTTGTCTGCCTCCTGTGGGTATCACCAGCACAGTGGGCCTTTGCTTGTGCTCAGACTTACAGAACCATCGGAGGTGGCAAGTCTCCAAAAATCTGTGAGCTGTTTAACCCAGCCGATGTAGAGACACTAGGCACTGTGTTTAGTCCTTCTGTAATCAGTGAAAACAGCTACATTTTGAAGGCTTTCTTTTGGAAACAGCATCTTAACCCAGCATTTCTAAAGGGTAACTGAGCTGCTCCAGGCAAAAGCATCTTCGTGACAAAATACATGGAAAAGTCCTTTGGGTGACACCCTCTCCTGGGTGAATTATGTATTATCATATTAAATATATTCTACTTGCTGAATTTAGTTTTATTGCCCGTAATGCTCATGAAAGTTCTACCAATATTTGCAGTTAGCATGATCTCCTAGTGAAAGGATGGTTTTATGAATCAGAAAATCATGCTTTGGAGTAAGGCTTATATACCTCCTTGCTGGTGACCTGGAATGCTCTATGACCTCAATCTCGGTTTCTTAATCGGCCCTTTTGAAATTTTTATAGACCCCAAAGAGGTTATGAAATTTGCTAAAAGTCGCCCAGGTAGCTTGTGTGACACAGCTGGAACAGTGCTCAGAATAGAATTTCGGCTCCTAGTAGCTACACTAGCGCTCATTTCCCTGCTTCGAGTGCAATACAGAGAGCACTATGCTTTGAAAAATACCCTGGAAGTGATATTAGCATTATACTTTGGGTATTTATGGTAGGAAAGGCTTCATAAGAAAGCACACAGGCTGGCTTTGAAGAATTAGAAGGCATCACGTGAATAGAAATTGGGTGGACAGGCACTCTCCATGCAGAGTGGGCAGCTCTGTTCTGAGATATTGGTTGGTTATAAAATAAACCAACTGAGCTTCTTACTGCACAAAACTGGGTTACAAGATACATCATTTTTTATCATAGTTTGTAAAATTTCCTTTAGCCTCAAAATGCAACTGAAGCAGGAATAGATTCCTTTTCTATTTTCTCACTTAAAGAGTATGGCAGAAACTAGGCGGGGGTGGGGGAGATCGATGCAAGTTAGCAGAGCAGCTGTGATTGGAAAATCTCACCAAAGGGTGTTGAGAAAAGGTGGCTTGAAACAGAGAACACCAAAGTCTGGGCCGGAGAGGGGCAGGACTTACAACTGGCTGTTGCAAGTCCTCCTGGGACCCACCAAAGTTTGTCTTTACTGTTGGCAGAAGAAAGACCACCATGACGTAGAGCATCTTCAGAAAAGGCTGGAGACAGTGGCCTTCTTTGAAGGTAAATAAAATAGATGAGACTGAACCTTAAAATGAGTATTTTTCCTATCTACAACACTTTAATAAGTAGGCCCAATTTCCTTTTCAAAGGTTCTAAATTTAAATATGTTTCAAGTGCAAGGATAGCATTTTAGGTAACATTTAGGATGCATTCTAAAGGACATCTGGGCCAGGTAATAGGAATCCTGTAGATACATCACATTTTCTCATTGTTTAAATTAAATATGCAGAGGAACAGTAGATTTTCATGCTCTGCACATCTGAGATAAGCGGCTGCTACCCTGTTAGCTTGGGGAGTTGTAAATCGGTGAGCAAATCCAAGAATTCTGTTTTATAACCAACAAATTATCCCGCAACTTTTACCACTTTTGGAGGAAAGATAAGAGAATTGCTTTAAGGGAAAACTGTAAAGTGCAAGTTCCCCATTTAAGTGATGTTACCAAAAAATGTCTTCTGTAATGTAATAATAAGGAGTGATGAAATAAATTACTTAGGCAATTGCCTCTTACTATTAGCTAAACGTCTAGGGTTCTTTCTTAGGTGGGTGATGCTGCTTTTATAAAAATAGAAAATAAAAATACTGTCAATTGACAATGATCATTAGGTAATACAATAGGGTTGACTTTAAGGGTACTTATATTAATAATAAAACTTTCAAAATTTAAGGGGAACTAACTTGTAAAGATTCAAACAATACAGGCAACTCTGCACAGCAGAAAGGACACTTTTTCTTAGTAAAGTAATTTTTAGTTTTAAGGGAGATACTGAGAGTTGTATTTATTTGGAAAGCTACTTAGATAAAAGGCATGAGGGTAGGTGATAGATACGTTACTGAACATAAAGGACCAAGTGCCTTCCATGGAGATACTCATTGCATTGATGTAGACATTTAAAACAAATGTTTTATACATGCAAGTGTAAGTATATATGGATACACACACATACCTCCCTCATGCTTTCATTATTAGAGGAAGCAGCGAGGCTAAAACAAATCATTCAAGTAAGATAAAGCTTGGGATCTCTGAGCCTAAATGCACAGGAATTTTTAAGGAGTGGGTATTAAAGAAGAGAAATGAAACAATTTCAAAGACACCTGTGGAAACTTCAAAAATTTCATATTATCTTGTCCTATTTTAATAAAACCTAATTACTAACTTAGAAAAGCTATGTTGCTGTAGTCTTTCCCAGGCTGGTAACCGTGATGCGTGTGGTGTACCTTGTAACTGACGATCAGATTTACTGCTTGACACAGACCTTTGTCTTAGGGGTGATCACCATTTCTCTCCACTTTTTGTATCTTCCATTTTGCTTGGACCATTCATTACAGAAATCAAGTCATCATGAGAGAAAAAGAGTTTTTATTCATCAGCTAGATCACCAGATGTCTGCTTTTTCCAGTAGTTACAAAGTCCCACAGTTGGAAGGACTTTGTGTGATTATTTAATCAAGGTATCACCTGTAGTTGGATCTACATGTAGGGTATTTATTCTTGAGGCTTTGTATAGTACAAACAGTTGTCCTAATCAATCACAAAATGGTTCCACCCCACCCTTTTGTGCCTTTGAAGAGAGGACCTCTCGGTTTTCTTTTTCTTTTTTTTTGGTACCGGGGATCGAACTCGGGTCCTTGTGCTTGTAAGGCAGGCAGCGGAACCGCTGAGCTAAATCCCTGGCCCTCAATTTTCATATTACTCCTTTTTTGTACCCAAAGGTCACACTGCTGGTGCTGGGAGGTCTGTCTCTAGGGCCTGGGAACCTAAGTGGAAGTTCATGCTACAGACAAGGTCTGCAGCAGAGGCTGGTAGGTCAGACTGTCTTGTTTGGAGGCCTGAAGTAATGTAGTGCCTCTGCCCCATCCCATTGGCTCAAAGACCTTGGACCGGAATGTTGACCTCTTTGAGATTTTTATATCTCATACATATTATATCATATATATTATGAGAGTAATAATACTTAACCCACAGAGTGGTGATAGTTCTATGATAAATGCAAAAGCCAATGAAACAGTATCTGAAATATAGTGAATTTCAAAAGCTATTAGATTTCTTTTGACACGGAAAATGTTAACAAATGAGATTTGCCTAAAGAATACAGTTTATTACAAAGGGATGGATATGCACTGGGTCAAATTCCTGAAGTAACACTTGAAGCAATAAAGAGATCTTTGGAAGGATCAAAAGGGCCAGAAAACCTCTAAAATGCAGTAGCCTATGAACCCATCAACTGTTACACAAAAATAAAAATCTAAATATTATTTCTGATATAAGAAGAAACTGCAATGGTGTCTTCAAGGCATTTCAAAGTAGCTTTAAACTGGTACAGCATTAGCAAAGGAATCAAAGACTAAAGGACAGAATTGGGTGCTTTAGCTGATTTGCTTCCTTGTACTTCAAATCATTTATATTGGTAAGGAGTAAAGATACCGGAATGGACCAGCCTTATTATATTGTCATTATTAAAATATCTTGTAACAGTAGATGTTGAACCCCAATATCTACCTAGATAAAATAAAAACCCTTAAAAAAAACCCTCCAAGCAGGAATCTGTTTGATGGCCTGGTAACAGACATAGAAGGAAATTTGGATTGAGGAATCTCTATCTGCCTTTTCGTGATTGCTTCTAAGCACTAGGTCTTTTGCATTTCTCCTGTTTTTATTTTAAAACTTCCTTTAAATTTTTATGTTACTTTGAAATGTATTGTGTTAAATATGCCAGGACTGTAAAAGAAAGGTCTAAAAATATCCTACCCCGGGCTTCAGAATCTACCTTACCCAACAAAACTCTTTTAGCACAAAATGCTAACTGGCAATAATGAGCACAAATACTTAACACGTCAGTTACGACAGCTATGAGTTTTAAGGCATTATCCACTCCAGAGAAAAACTATTTGGAGAATTAGAAGCACTCATTTTTCATATACAATGAATGGTAATGAGAACAGAGATGAGTGATAACACTCTATGGCTGTGAGTTTTCAAAGCAAACACAAAAATCTGAAATGAAGTTGTATATATATATGAATATACTTAAGCTTCTATCAACCCTAATTAAGAGCTGTATTTTACTTATGTTTATCTATATTATATTTATATGCTTATCAACTATACAGATGAAAAATGAAATGTCTTTTCCTATACTCGCTAGGCATTACCTTAAAACTGGGAAACAAAGGCATCAGATCCTCTGCTACTTTCTTTCTTTGACCCAAACAATTGAGAAAGGAATCCTGTGTCTACTGCAAAGCTCAAGTCCAATACAATGAAGTCACTCAGTGGTTTAGGCCAAATCAGAGCGGCCATAGATATCAGGTACCTTTTACAATAGTGCCCAAGTAATTTCTCCTTTGATTCCCATTTTAATCCTGCCCTTCAATAGTGATATTACTTGGACAAGATCGCATGTCTCTGTCTAATTCCAATTCTTCGCCTTGTAGAATGAGATTCATTTCTACCTATCTGATCCTGTCATCTCTGACTTTACAGCAGGGACCTTCAGAATCTATGATACCAAAATTTGGCGATGCTTAAGTCCATGTAAAGATCGTTGCACACTTGCATGTAAACAGTGTTCATCCTTCTGCATATTTTACATCATCTCTAGCTTAGAATACCGAACATAAAACTATGAAAATCACTGTTGCATTATTTAGGAGATAACAGGATGAAATAATTCTGTACATGATCAGTACAGATGTAATTTTTGTTTTACAAATATTTTTAACCTGTACTGGCTGAATCCATGAATGTACAAGCCCTGGACACCAGGGACCAACTTTATTATTCCATAGATGAATCTAGGTTCAATTGCATGTGGACAAACAAAACCATGAGCCTGGAGGATATGCGATAAAGTATTGTTAAGGACAACAAAAATCCCAGGTCCTAAGAATGGAATATGTATAAGGCAAGTGACTTCTACAAAATTATTCAGAACCAGCTGTAAAACAGCCCAAGGGTGATCTTGTGCCTTCTTACTGTGTGTATCTTACCTGAATTCTCTGGCTTCAGTCTGTAATGCATCTCAGCTGGTATTCCAAACCTTCTAGATCCTGAATCTGCCTGTGGCTTTGTGCATGAAAAGCCCTATCCTATTCTTTTTTTTTTGCACTGGGGATCAATCTCTGGTCCTTGAGCTTGCAAGGCAGGAAGCAGAGCCACTGAGCTGAACCCCCAGCCCTATGCTATTATATTTAGGATGCTTTAGAAAGGGAGTCAAAAGAATGGTACCTCCAGGACTCACCTCTAGGATGGATGTCTGCACTTGGAGGATCTGTTCATGGCCTTTGAGCTGCCGGATGCAGATTTTGCAGGACAGCTGCGTGGTAGTGGGCGTGTAGCGCTCCAGGGAGAAGGCACAGTGCAGGGGCTGTCGGTTACTGCACCACACGCGAGAGAATGGGACTTCCTGCAGGGGAGATGGAGCACAGAATGGGGCTGGGTGTGCAGAGCCGGGCTGAGAGGAATGGAGACTAGGAGACACTCAACAGCAATAATTATGATGATGATGACAAAGATCGCAGCAGAGCTAATTGCCTAAGCGACTTTAGTGGAATTACTGTAGAAATAATGTTCTAGCATGTGCCAAGCAGCACACAAGTAATTACTGTCAATTCCAGTTGATACATTTGAATTCAAAGCCACACTGCAAGAACTCAGACTTCACTTGGTGACACACACAATTAAAAAGAATGCCATCACAATTAATCATTTTTCTGCTTAAGACTATTCTTCTCCTAGAAGACCCCTCTAATCTATCCTTCTACCTAAGCCCAGGGTAAGATGATGTCATCTGATTTAAATAAAACTTGTGGAACTGACTAACCACACTTACCCTTTCTACTACAGATGCATGCAAAACTGTATGGGAATACAGTAGTGCCAACACATCCAGTATAAAACTAAATACCTACTGCAAAATGGTAAACACATACACACATCCGAGAGAGAGAGAGGGAGAGAAACACACACTGAGCCACCCCAGAGTGGTGCAGTTTGGCAGTTCTCCATTTTGTTTCATTCGTCAACTCCACAATTATGTATAAGGTTTGCTATGCTACTGGATACCCAATAAGAAACAATCACCATTTAAGTTTGGTTCCTGCTCTCAAGGGACTTATAGATAATCCAGTGGACAAAGTAACTCTTGCTAAATGAGGAAGGAAACTATTCCTTTTTCTTAACACTAGGCAGCGCATGCTACCCATAGGACTGTGGGCTGGAATGTGACTTTACAATATCTCTTGACATTTTTTAGTGTATTAAAGTCTCTCCTTGTTCAGATGCGGCCGGGGCCGAAGGCAATGACCATATATACTTACCCCCGAGGGATCCTCAGCGTTACCTTTTCATCTTTCTCTTCTCAATATTTTTTGCATTTCGTGGCTATACATACATTTATTTCTAATACTAAAACTGGAAAGTGGCAAAAAGTGTATCACGTCTGCAAGTTTGGGCAGCTGAAGTGTGACTGGCGCTGAAGCTGCCGTGAGTTACGAGGCCGAGAGCCAGGTTAGAACTCATTCCGTTCACTCTGAGGAACTAGGAGTTGCCAGGTTGCTCCTGAACTCTTGCACACGTGTCTTTATGCAGTGTATCCCCTAGTTTTCCCCTTAAGAAATCTCACAGTTCCTGATTTCGGATACTTGCTTGGGGGAACCAGCAAGGAAGGATGAAGTTTAGACTGCTGTACACTTGGAAAGTGGAGAACAAGCTTTAGAGAGAACGGGGGAACAGAATCAGACGTTCACTCTTGCTGTGCCTCTTAGCAGTGGATGTAAGAAGTTTGTGAGTTTTGCCTTGTTTTTCCTAATTCTGAGCCAGAGGAAAAGCGGTGGACATTCATCACAGAAATAACGACGCACAATTGTGACACTTTGCGGCATTTTGTTGACTTCGTTCCCGTGCAAGACGTGGGCTGTTTGTCCGCAGTACTGTCTTTACCTTTTCAGTTCTCTCCAAGGTGACAACGGCTGGAGGCCTGCAAACTATTTTATAGCTTCCCTTGCTATCAGGGGTTCATGTCTTCATTCTGCGGGGAAGGCAGAAGCATTGCAGCCTCCTCATGGCAGTGGGCGGGCCTGGAGGCATCAGCTGGCAGCACACGCAAGGTGAGCAGGGGCTTCTGGATGTCTCGAGACTCATCTCTTTGTGTGGTGTTGTAGCCTCCTCCTGAAATTCCTGACCCTGTTGGTGTCCTAATATCGTCAGTGGCTTCCTCTAACCTTAACTCGGAGTTCCTCAAGCGTGGTAGAAACATAAAACCCTTGATTAAATATCTCCTTGGTTGGAATGTCTTGAATGCTTTCTGTGTCCTTGACCAAAACATTTCTCTGATGATAACGCTAGTGGATCTAAAGAGGCGTCTCTTACACCCTGAATGGAACAGTGCCACTGGTGAGTCCCACGGGGAGCGTTGAGGGGAGGCACTCAACTAATTGTTATCAAAGAAGCTTTTGGCAGAATCTAAACTTCGTATCACCAGCAGGGCAGAAACATCCACTGACCAGTGCCTGGTTCCTCCGTCCTTTTATGTGTGCCCTTTTCCTTTCCTTTCCTAGCGGTGGACTCTGCAGCAGAGGACACCTCCGATGGGTGGAGCTTCTCAGTAAACAGTAGAGGAAGGCATTTTCCTTAAAACACGCATGAGTGTCTTTAAACTTCATCGTAATTTATACATAGAAATTCTGCCGTTTCTCCTTGTCATCCGAGCTGATTCTCTCCCTGATTCTCTTGGGTCTTCTTGCGTTTTGCAATCCATGGGTAATTTTTACTCTGGAATCCAAACTCTTCTGTTTCTCTCTGCCTGCTTCGGCCTTCAGTCTCCCATCTGTCCATGCGTGCGCATTTGCCCCGTCTCTGCAGAGGGAGCTGCTCACTACTTCTGGCATTTGTCTGACATCACCAGATCCTGCCAGGATACTCCTGAGCCTTCAGAGTGATTTTGTTTGGCCTTTACATCTCTGACAATTTCACCTTTCAGTGCTGAGGGCTGAACCCAGGCTCTCTACACTGAGCTGCATTACTGGGCTTTTATTCTTCACTTTGAGACAAGGTCTTGCTCAATTGCCCAGGCCAGAGTTGAAGCTGTGCTCCTCTCCCCTCAGACTGTCTGCGTGTTAGGATTACAGGCAGGCGCCACAACCCCTGGATTGTCACCCTCTCTCGCGCTGGCATTTGGCTCCGATTTTTCTGCTTCCATACAGTGCATCAGAGCACGAACTGTGGTGGTCTAATCCCATGTCTTCAGTCTATTACATAAAGCTAGTGAGAGGCCTGGGGCTTGACAGGGGAGAGGAGCAGAAAGCACTTGATTTACCCCCTTCAAAGGATCGTGTTCCGGTCTTTCTCTCACCTCAGTCACGGGTGGCAGACAACTGATAGCACCACATTACACCAAACATTACACCAAACTGCTCTGTTTCCATGATTCTTTGGCTAGGGGCCCTGTGTTTCCTGCCGCCTGCCATGCTGAACGTGGTCTCCTCTCTGGTCCTCTAAGGCCTCCCTCAAGATCTGTGACTGTCCTCTGCTTTCGCCATTCTTACTCTTCTCATATCTGGAGTGAACTCTCTTCTCCAAATCAACCCGTTTTTGTAGAGTTACTTCGCACCATCCATTTCAATGAAAATAACTAAAATGTAGGGATCTGAGATGAATGAGGAAGTTTCTTTAGTCCGCAATTGAAATTTAAGACACTATAGCACAATGTAAGCATTGGACGGCAGGGATAGAAAGAACCAAGTAAAGGTTTAGTTCTTTTTTTTTCTTTTTTTTTTTTTTTGAGACAGGGTCTCACTATGTAGTTGAGACTGACCTGGAACTCACTATGTAGCCCAGGCTGGTCTCGAACTCACAGCGATCCTCCTGCCTCAGCCTCCCGAGTGCTGGGATTACAGGCGTGCATCACCATGCCCAGCTTGATCACTTATTTAAAAGTGTCTTCTCTGGTATCATTTGATAGATTGCCTCTATTTTTTCCTGAAAATACCGGCAGAAAGGTGAGAGAATAAAGGCCACTGCAGAGATATCTTTTCTTAAGAAAGAAATAAGAATCATTTCTCTCCTCCTTTTTTCTTTTCCATGACAGTGCACATAATGAAAACCTTTTAAAAATTTGATTTTAATGTAGAATCAAAGGGATTTTTTTATTGTTGACTTGATTAGCAGCTGCCAATAGTACTCAACAAAACATTTAAAAATAATAGAATTAGAAGCACTATGATTAGTGTGTTTCCAGGGCAATAATCTTCGCCTTCACTTATGAAGAAAAAAGAACCCCAGAAAACAAAAACAAAATCACTGATGTACTTACTGAGCTCAGAGGAATTATGCAGGAAGTAATATAGAGTACAAAGTGTGGCAAAGTTATGGGTGTTTAACGAATTCCGGAAATGTTTTCATTCTGATTCCCATTATAATTAGGTTTCTAGCAGATGGAGAGAATGTAAATCATATCCTAGCAGGAGACAGACACTGAGTTCTCCAGGATACGTAGCATGCTGAAAAGACAGCTGCTTTTGTCTCAGGGATGTGACAATTCGACTTTGTGCTTTGTGGGATTTTAAAAAATAAATGATTGTATACTGTTTATTACAGCTCTCCCACCACACAGGCAGCAAGGAATAAAGAAAACCATGATCAAGTAGCTCTGAGGTCCTGGTAACCTATTGAGCACAGCATTTACCTCCTGGAAGAGGGTTGCTACTTCCTGGAGTCAGGAGAGCAGTGGGCGGGCAATACCATACTCCTAACAAGGCTAGGTATCAAAGCCTAGGAATAAAATGGGCAGTAATTCAATATTAGGGGTGGAAACAAGCGCTGTGGGCCTCAATTTTGCTTTGAACCAGGTTGACTGAGTGTTAGGCACCCATATTTCCAAAGAACACCCATAACCTGTCCTTTACTCTCATCCCTCGTACCTGGAATTATGAGCAAAAGTGGCTGTAGCATAACGTAGCTGGAGTCCTCCAGAACCTACACCAACAAGATTTCAAATGTATGTCGTCCTTTTAGACGTAGGTCCCTGTCACGTAGCTCAGGACATAGTATGATCTCATATTAGTCTAAAATCATTTCTCATGCAGTTTGTTGGCCTCTGACAGTAAAAATTCTATGCATTCATTGGGCCCCTCCTAGGTCTGTGTTCCCAGAAAAAAGTAGAATAGTGCCCTAGATGAGTAGGGTTTGGGTATCTAATTGTAATATGTTCTACATATTACATATTGCAAATCTGTAGAATCTCAACTTGAAGCTAGACAAAGGGAAAGAAGACAACTGTACAGAGATTTTTCATGCATTGCACTGAAAGATTACAGGACAATTTACCAGTTGAAAAAGAGACCCACACATGGCATCAGGAATAGTGTGATGTTCTGTCTCCAGAAAATTTATCTGGGCTGACACGAAAAAGGCCCTGGTGGTTCCTAATCACTAATCCCTAATGAAAACCCATTCTCTGTTATCCATGCTGATGGATAACTGTGCACATGGTGTCCAACAGAAGGATCAAGCAGGCTGAATGTAAACTCTCCCCTAAGCGCTTACATCTAATGCCTGGGGCAAACACAGCATGACCATGAAACCAAACACAAAACGCATTCCCACAAGCTGATGGATTACAGCGGGGGCAAGGAGATCGGTGGGTAGGGGTGGCAGAGAGAAAGCAAGAACAGAGCGGAAAGCCATTCTGGGCAAGAAAAATGAAGTGGAAATGAACACTCAGTGGCAAGCCTCCCGATGCAGAGAAAATTAACTTGTTTCTCAGCCTTCCAAGACTCTCAAATTATGCTCAATTACAAAAGGCAAATATTTATACATGTTCACAACCTCTGCGCAATCCAACCCATCTCAGCAGTGAAGCTCATTGGGTTTCCTCATGAGCCAATTTTCTTTGGCTTTGGCTGGCCCTAGTGTAGCCTCTGAGGTCAGCAGCACAGAGCTCTCTCCACACCCTCTGCCCTGGGCTCTCTTCTAGGGTCCCTGTTGTTGAGATTATTGCTTAAGAGCTGCTGCAAGGTAATGACTTTCTTCTGATTTTTTATCTTCAAGCATTAAACTTAATAGTTACTTTGGACTGAATCACTCAGATCCAATGAAATGAGGCCCTTATATCCCATAAAGATTAACACATAGGAATTTGCATGACTATTAGGGCTTATTTTAACAATACTCTGAAGTTCAATTTGGACTAGAAACTGAATAATGCTTATTTGAAAACAAAGACACGTAGGTCTTGAATACCAATGAATGCATTTATCCACACAAGATCTCTTTCTGCAAGGAAACCTGCTGAACGTGTCAAACGTACACATGCTCACACACACACAAATTGTCCAAGGCCACGAGAGATGCCTGTATTACTTTGAATGCACTAAAATTATCTAGGATGGGGCAGTTCTGAAGGCAATGTGAATTCTGCCAACAAAGAGTGTGGCCTTGTCCAATTTGAAATGGTTTGAAGTTGGAAGGTTGGTGGTTCAACTTTTTTTCTAACTACCATGGCAAAGTTTCCTTTTTGTGACCTGGCTCCTTACTATTCTAAAACTTAGAATACTTGGGTATAATCTTCAAAAAAATGACTTCTGCAAGGATGGAAAGATGATGCTGCCCCTTGGGGCTTAGTGTCTTATGCTGATGGGCTTGAAAAGATGCTGTGGTTCCAGACTAAGGTGAATCCATCAGGAGGTTTTCTGGTTTAAGGAAACGTCCTGTCACTTGAAGCTTAGGTGACTCTGGCTTAAGAAAGGATGATGGAGGAGGGCAGGGTGGCGTAATCCGAGCACGGAGGGAACCAAGAGAATCAAATGTGTGAGTCTGGTTGGCGCAAGTTAGTGAGACCTGGTCAAAATAAGAAGGGCAATGAATGGGGATGTAGTTTAGTGGCAGTGAGCCCTGGAGTTTCATCCCCAGTACAGAAAAAATGAAATATCCCCCAAATACCACCCCCTCACAAAAAGAAAAGAAAAAAGAAACTATATTTGACTGACTATCCAGCTGTTTATAGGGACAGGTCTCATGGGTGGGAATTTTCATAGACTTCTGCAGCAGCATTGCAAATTGAGAAGAAATCTTTTCATGTTAAGCATGTATTCAAATTCCCTAAAAATGGTCCAAAAGGACTCCTAATTATCCTGCATTATTTAAATAAATCTCCATTAAGAGATATGACATATGACAAGATCTTTATATATTTATGGAATGATTCTAAAGAAGCATTACCTTGCCTTTCCTTTTCTTACAATTTCTTGTTCTTGACTCGCCCAATCCATTTGGTGGCAACTACTTCCCTCAAGAACCATAGTGTCTCTTGTCTGTAGGGACCACATTTCTAACTCAGAGTTGTCCCCTGAAAAAGTCTGCTGCTGATACTCAGTATATTCACTGCTGACATGATGGAGGGAACGTCTCATAGTTATTTTATAGCCGATACATAAATCCCACTCTCAAGTTGGCAAGTTGCCATCTTCAAACTACACTGTGCAACAGCTTAAGAACACAGAGGAAATGTCATATTACCTGATGCATGAGCACCTCTTAGACACTGTGAAGTCATGGCAATGCATGTCACTCCTCCTGTGTAACCCTGAATATCACCTCTGTGTGATGATTTGGAGATGTAATCCATACTTTATAGGAGTAGGAACATCAAGAAGATTCCCACTAGGGTCTCTGTTGTCACGCTTACTTGTTAACATGCACGGTTTCTGTGAGAGCCCATTTGGCCAGTACCTGGCATGCAGTGAATGGTTTAATCCTCCAGAGGAACGGAGGGATGTCAAGGACGGAGATCTGGAGGCTGAAGGTGTTCCCTTGGAAGTGCAGCAACTTCGGTTCCTCCAGTAGCTGTCCTCCTTGATGCCTTTCGTCTGAAACCACTTCCTACGGCGGGGGGAGAGGGCCAGAGGAACAGTGAAGCACCCAGCACTTTCTTTCGTGGACACAGACACCCACTACAACGTGGCTCTCAGCGACGGGCCAAAAGCATAAGACAAAAACTCTTCTTTTAAATCTCCACATCCCTGCAGAGTTCAGTACGCAGGACTGAAAGCTGCTGAGTAATAAGTATTAGAAAGACACAGGCCTTTATGTTGTACAGGGTTTATTAAGTAGCTATCTTTAAAACTAAGAGACCTCTTCTGGGCCCAAGAAAACTGTAAAACTGTTGAGTTTCTGGGGTGGTATGAATTTCATTCTGCTATGACTATAACCAGTGGAAGTCTTTATACATAAGCTGCCACATCATTGTGTTTCACCACAAACGTAGACACATCCCTTGCTACTCTGCTCTATTATTCTTTGGTAACACTGACATTAAAGTTGTCTTTTTTTGGGGGGGTGGGGGTCTCAAAATAGACGTTCCAGACTGCACGCTTATTTGTGGCCACATTCATAAAAGTTATTACTCCAAAGGCCAAGAAAAAATAAAGTTATTTATCACATTAGCTTTAGTTCAGGAAAATAAAGTCATGATGTTTCTAAGCCAAAAACTCTTTTATGCTTTCACTGAAAAAAAAAAAATTGGGTTTTTTTTTTTTTTTTTTTTTTTTTTT